TTTTTCCCCTTGCTAAGCAGTACATTAAAGTAAAACCTCTTTTATCCCAGTCATGCTAAATGTGCTTCAGTGTGATCTGAGTCAAACAAATACTTGATAGCCAAGAGGAATTTCTGCTTCATGCTTGTGGGGCTGCTAAACTCAGGTGCCACAGATCACATCATAGAATGATGTTAAAAGAAGCTTCCACTGAGCATTTCCCTCTGAGGCAAAAGTTCTCACTGTGAGAAGATGTCTTCCAGTTGTGCCCTAAAAATCCTGCCAGAGCACAAGTGGCTCTTCTTCTAAGCCACTGCAGATCTTTGCAGCTATTTCTGGATACTGCTCTGAGATGAGAGGAACTGGGTGGGTTGAGAGCATCAGTTGTGCTCCTGTTGGTAGCATCTTCTGTGGCTGGGTGCTGGAAGCTAAACCTCAACCCAAAGTGGTTGGCAGGAAGCAGAGCAGCTTGTGAGGAGCTGCCTATGCCAAGAAGTGATTCTTTCTTTTGAGGTTTGGCTGGGGATGCAGCTCCTGGAGGGCAGTACTGCTGACACGACGAATACCAAACTGCTATTCAAAGCTGAACAGCTGATAAAAATGGGGGATGAGAGTGCAGCACTCTGCAAAATCCATGTGCTTAACTCTCAAAGCTGTTTTTGAGAAGATAAGGAAACAGAGACTGAAGATGCCACTTCCACTAAGCTGTATGTCTGTATCTTTTAGAATTAAAGCTTTACTAGACTGTAAAAGGCCCACAAGACCTGATAAATGTGTATTTGAAAATTGGAAAGGGCAGCACCATCTCCATAATTTCTAGCTGGCTTTCGTGCCGAGCACTCCTGGTATAATTTCTTTGATTCATGAGAGCAGCTAAAACCTAATACCATTATGGAACATAGTCATCTCTCTAACAGGCTTCCTTTCAGACAACTCAAAAGTTTTTTAAAGCTACTGTTCAAAATTCATTTCACAAATCAGGCTCAGAATAGCAGTGGAAAAGTTAGGAATTTGTGTTTTGCTAATTCTGAGTGGAACTGTGCAGAAGGAAAAATTTCTTAGGAAAGTTGGTTTTCAGGCTGGTTTTAGAATATATCAACTTGGTTTGTCATGCTGTCTTTCTGACTTTTGATTCTGAACTGTTCCTGAATTTATGAACATTGGACAATTTTTTTTGTCATGCATTTCATTTGACCAAGACCTGCTCCCCGTAATTGCCAGGGAGAATCAAAACAACTATTTTGTTATTCAAAATTGTGCCTTTGAAACTGTTCTGACACTTGGCCAGGCACCCAGGTGCTGTGTTTTACAGCTTCAGCCAATCCATTTACGTATGTGGCAGAAGGGGATCTGATAATCAGATCTGGTTGGAAAAGTTCCAGTAAAACAACTTTTTCAAATGTTTTGCTCTGGCACATTTCTGCCTGCCTCGGAAGGATCCACAGCGCCTGGCCCAGGACAATGAGGTGTTTGTCATGGAGAGGGAAAGGGATAAAACTCTGGGAGCCTCAGCTTGTGGGAGGCTGTGACCTCAGCTCTCAAGGCTCTCTGGAGCAGAAAGCTGTGAGGGTCATTCCTGATAATATTTGGCCTGTGCATTAAAGATAATTGTGGTTTTCTCATGGGAAGGGCATGGTGTCAAAAGCTGAAATTACAGGTTTTGGCATTTTTTTTTGTTATTGTTGTCCTTTTTTAAATATTTAAAAGGACTGTGGGGGTTGTTTTACTCCTGGAGCTGTGTTAGTCTTCCTGGAAGGACACTGCAGCCAAGAGTTGCTGGCTGTTTCTTGTATCTTGCTGTCAGTATGCAGTAGCATCTTTGAATGCAGTAGCATCTTTGAATACCTGCACTGATAAAAACAGTAATTATAATTGTGCCTGAAGAGAGCCTATAGGAGAGATGGAGAGAGACTCATGGCAAGGGGGAATGGCTTCGTACTGACAGAGAGCAGGGTTAGATTGGATATCAGGAAGAAATTGTTCCCTGTGAGGGTGCTGAGCCCCTGGCACAGGTTTCCCAGAGCAGCTGTGGCTGCCCCATCCCTGGCAGTGTTCCAGGCCAGGTTGGATGGGGCTCTGAGCAACCTGGGATAGTGGAAGGTGTCCCTGCCCATGGCAGGGGGTTGGAACAAGATGGGCTTGAGGGTCTCTTCCAACCCAAAACATTCTGTGAGTTTATGGCCATACAATGTGCATGTGCCCTGCATATAAGATAAGCACCTCTTTCCTGATTTGTCTAACACCTGTAAGAGGATGGAAGGTGGGTTTTTTTTTACATTCCTGTCAGGGCAGTAACCTTTTTTTAACTCTAAAGGATTTTGGCTCAGTTGAACAGTTGTTAAAATTAATGATCTTTGGAATTAGTGATAAATGCACCTCTTAACCATGGTACAATCATGACTCTGTGTTCAGGCTGACTTACTGCTTTTGTCTTTTTTCATACATACTCATTTGTCTCTCTTCTTTAAAATCCTGATAAAACTTTAATTGTCCCATTATCCTCTCACATGTTCTTCCCTCTAGCAGATCTCAGGGATGGAAATGTACTTGCTGCAAAGTCAAAGGTGAATGAACTAGAAAAGGTGCATATACCTTTTTTATTTGGGTTTGTTCCGTATTTTTTGTATGTCATATGTTTCCTGAAACATTTTATTTATTTACTAAGGGATTATCTTGTTTGTACTGACAAGCATAAGGAAATATGAACAAGAATGCCTTTTTTTACCATATTTTGAAGAATTATCACCACAGAAATGAAAAGGAAAGAAGAGAAGGAAATTTTTTTTCTTTTTCTTTTTTTTTTTTTTTAACCAAGCATTACGGGATAATAACTGCCTTGACTTCTAGCAGACATGGTATTTTACCTTTCTGGTGGAAAGCCATAGTTCTTAATGTGTATGCAGCATCCCAGCATGACAGGCTCAAAGAGAAGTAGACCACTTATGACAACAGGAACACCACAGGAACTTCATCTTGTGTCTCAGTGGTACAAATACATCAAGGTTGTTGTGACCTCTCTCTGAGAGCCTAAAAAGATGACTGTGTTTATGTTTAATAGTAGCTATTTGTTTGACTTTCTGGGAGTTTTTCTTTCATCTTGAACTCTTTGATTTTATATTTTTCTTTAAGCTGTCTATCTACCAATATCGAAAAAAATAGAATATTTTTTATTTATTAATAAATGCCAATGTGAAAGCTTCAAGGGGTGAGGCTAGGTTTAGATAAGAGTATATAGGAGTGGTAACATGAGAGCAGTCTTGATTTACAACATCAAACCTAAGGGCAAAGACATGGAAAATTCAGATAAGTAGCAAGACGTGTCATCTGCTTAATTTACTGTTTTGTGTGTTTTCATAGTGCCCCAAGCTAGGATAGGAAGAAAAACAGCAGAAGGTACCAGCATCTGTAAAATCTTCAGCTTGGGACCTGATGTTACTCTCCCTGCTTTCCAGTCTCAGCACCTGGTGTGGTGCACAGTATGAACCCCTTCCTTTCCCAAGCAGTAAACTGGTGGAATTTGCATAAGCAGTGTTTCTGAACCTTTTTTTATTTGTGGAAATTACAGTATCTTTGTGGATATTCCAATATATCACCTGTATTACAATATATCTGTCTCTTCAACCTGCAGATTTTGGCAGTGGTTTATAGACCCCACAGGAGTCTGTCTGGGGCCACAGTCAGGGACCTGCATCAGTGGCAGGAAACCAGAAGAGAGATGTCTGGAAAGAATAGTGTTTGTTGCCTGCTCATTTGATAGTGTCAGGCTGAGAACAACTTTATTGTAAACTATTCAAAGAGTGATTTCCAGCAGAGAAAACTGAGCACCTGCTCCTTTCCTTGCTCTCCTTGCTTCAAAGCCACTGGTTTTGCAGGTCAAGTGCTACTGCTTAGAGTTTTATTGTCATTCACGTGCACCTAACAAATCCATGAGCTGGAGATGGTAAGAATTTGGCTGTTTCCATCACCTATCCACCTGTGGGAAGGGAAGAAGAGTGAGGGCTTTTTAAATTTTGGAGAAAGACTAAGTTCCTTTTCTACAGGTGCTGGAAAGATGAAAGCTACACAGCAGCCAGACATGGATAGCTGGGGGCATTTGCTCAATGCTTGAAGATGTTTCATAGAAATACCATGGATGAGAGTAGCAGGCTTAATTAGTTTTTAACAAGTCGTAAATCTTTCTTAAAACTAACTCTTATTGTGGCTTTCTAGAAGCATTTCAAGGTATCTGAGAAATAGAAGGAATTCTGATGTGATTGGCTTTTTTATGTAATGCCACATTTTCCATAAATGAGATTTACAAAAAGTTTTTCCTTTGCTTCCCCCTCCACTCCAATATCCTAAAATAAGCTGAAGATGATATATTATAAGATTGCTAGCTTGTGCCTCTTTTAAAATTTTTTAATATCAAATATTGAAACAGATTTTTCATTTCCATGCATGTTTTCCCATCAGCAAAAGATTACAAATACATGCATGGTATTTAGAGGTATGTTTGTTTTTTTTTCCCCAGGTAGCTTATTATAATAAGTTCAAGTGCTTATTATACAGGTTTAAGTGATACTCTGTCATACTGGGTGTGTCAGATAGGTAGACATAATGAATTACAAAACTGACATACATAAATTATTGTTCCTGCCATAATGTCTTAAGTAGAGGTAATTGGAATATATTTTCTTCCAGTTATGTATATATGCATACCTTCACTGTCAAAATTTCCTTCCTTCCAGGTACTGCTTTAAACAGTTGGGCTTTTTTTGATCAAGAACTGTTTCATTGCTTTGTGTTGATGCAGACTTAAATAATGAGTTCTGGGCCCATGGTTGCAATTTAGTGATGTGAATTGGAAAACAGGGTTTTCTGTAGCTTTCTTAACCAAGCAGGTAAACTTTCTGAAACAGATTAACAGAACTGTTAATCTGTTCATTAATGATAATGAACAGATTAACTGTTTCTCTGATTTTTATCAACACCAGGTTGTTGTTTTTGCCAGCCATGATGTGACCTCTTTTTTTTTTTTTTAGATTTGTGTGGATTCTTAGACTGAGAATTGCACCTTTTGGACACTGAAGCCCAAATGCCTGCAGAATCCCAAACTAGGAATACCAAGGGGAGCTTCTTAAATCAGTGAAAAATTTAATAGCAACAAGGTTGGAGCTGTACGTTGTTTCTGTTTCTTCCAAGAAGGAACTACAAGTTCAAGGTCCTCATTTGGAAAAAGCACCTTTATATTTAATGAACACTGTGCACTTTTGCAAAACAGAGTTGACAGTTTTCCCGTTGTTTTCTGTCGGTTTTTTTTTGTAAAATATCAGTAGATATGTGTTAGTATAAAATCCTCTGCCTGCCAACTCTTTTTCTTCTTCCTCTCCAATCAATCTGGTAGTAAGAATTAAGGAAAAATTAAGTTTGTTGGGGCTGTAAAGTGGGAAGGGCTATGCATCTTGTATCAGATACCTGTAATATATTCTTCTACCCTTATTTCCATCCTGATGTCAGGCGACAGCAATTACAAAGTGATAAACATTTCATCTCATCATCCTCCACCCTTCTGTAAGAGTCACGTTGCTACCGATGGTTTTACCACTCTTGTTTTATCAGCTGCTGTCATCACAGACAATTGTATTAACCTCAAAACAGTAATCTGCAGCTTTGTTGTACTGGTTGCTTACATTTTTCCATGCCACAGAGCCTTCCTTTTGCCAGGTGAATTCTGCAGTACAGAGGCCTGCTAGGGTAGGTGAGGGTGACAGCTGTTCCTTGAGGCAAGAGCCCCAAGGCAGCTCTTGAATAGGAACTACAATCCATGTGTGACACAGGGGTTTGTTATCTTGCTTTTCCATGAAGAGAGAAAGTGATCTAGATGTAGCTGTCAGAAAGAAATTGCTCATCCTTGCACACCAGCAAGACGAGGATGTCTTTCACTGGCCAGTGCACTATAAACTACATTACAAAAATGCTGATGTATGGATTCAGCCCACCTTGGGACTGCTTGGAAAAAAAATTGCCTTTCTGTCTGTCCACATCTTGTGGGTGCAGCAGCACACACCCATGATAAGGCAAAGTTCCTAACATAATTTGGGGCGCCTGTGAAACACTGGAGGATGTAACAAAGACTGCAAGATACGTGCAGACCAAACAAGTTACATGAACTGCAGGTGAGCTCTGGAGTACTCTCTGTACCTCTTTGGAGCTTTTGAGGACAGTGTCACAATCATTCCCTTGTAATGCGAAGGGTTTGGACAGGTTTGTGTCGAAGGTGTGATGGCATAGAGAAGCAATGCAACCAGGGAACCTGCTTCCAGCAGCCTCCTGGGGAAATGCTGCTCTTGTTACACACCTAGGTTGTGGAGTCCTGTATGCCAAGTGAGGAGAACACTGTTGGGAGAACTGTTGTATTATTCTGAGGGTCTCTAGCCAGCTATCTGCTTTACTCAGCAGATGCTTTCTCAGATACTGGATATGGAATCAAGGAATCATAGAATGGTTTAGGTTGGAAAAGACCTTAAAGATCACTTTGTTCCAATCCCCTGCCATGGGCAGGGACACCTTCCACTAAACCAGGTTCTCCAAGCCCCGCCAACCTGGCCTTGAACGTTTCCAGGGATGGGGCAGCCTCAGCTTCCCTTCAAAGGCCTCATCACCCTCACAGGGAAGACTTTATTCTTACTGTCTAATCTAAACTTAATCTCTGTCATTTTGAAGCCATTCCCCCTTGTCCTGTCACTCCAGGCCCTTGTCAATAGTCTCTCTCCATCTATTCCTGCAGTCTTCTTCAGGTTCCACAAAGTTCCACTGAGGTCACCCCAAAGCCTTCTCTTCTCCAGGCTGAACAATCTCAGTCCTCCTAACCTTTTCTTGTAGGAGGCTAAGAGAATTTGAACAATATAACAATTGGGAGCAGATAGTTCATCTTTAAACATCCCTGTTGGTGAAAGATACACAAAAATGAATTTCTTCTGTGGTGTGTGCAGTCATGGGCTGCCAGGTAAAAGGCAAAACAAGTGCCTGTAGATACGTACCTGTAACACTTCATCTTGTTCCAGTGGAGGGGAGTCTTGTTCTTTTCTCTGGTTGTTTATGTCCAACAGGAAATGTCACTGAGTCTGTATTAATGATACTTAATATTCTTGGAGTGAAGAGTGTTTTTAAAATTATTATTTAAATTGTGGCATCTTTGGAGTCTCTGCGGTCTTAAACTAGTTTTGAAGGCACAGATGTAATATAAGCTTGTTATTCCAAGAAGCTAAAATAGCACAAGCAGTTGTACAGACAGTTTCTAAATTTTCCATTGGTTAACAAAATGTTTCATCAACACAGGAGATGCAGAAAGGGAGAGGCCTGCTCTTGATAGCATTTTGCAAAGATTGCAGATAACAGTGCATTTGTTAAGTGCCTTCCACCTTGCTACACCACGGACTGGCGGGTGAGAAAAGCCTGGAGATTAACAAAGAGGCTGTATTCCTTTGTGGACTGGGAGAGAGAAGCTAGAACCCAAGCAGTTAGTCCACATTTTGATTTTTCACACCCATCTGAGGAGGAGGGGAACACATTTCAACTCAGATGCAGATGACTGGAAACATTTCTGTCCCTCATTCAGGGCCAGATTCCCTAGTTATGCTCCTGAATTTTGTCTGCCTTGCAGGTGGGAGCTGGACAGAACAAAAAGAAACTCCTAAGTTATTTTTCTTTTTCTTTCCTAAGCAAGGACTAGTTGGTTTTCTACAGTATTTTGAAACATGAAAGAAAACAGACTGTCACAGGGCAGATAACAGAGGTGAGGGTGCAGTTGCTGGGTAAGGATTATTTGCCATTATAATTCAGTGCTATCTGAAAAGTCAGAGAGGAAAAATTACTGGCCTGTGAATTTGAGGAGGAAAACTGTTCTGGTTAAACTGCCCAGGCTGTCAGCCCACCTCTCCTCAAGTGATAAAACTTAAAGCAAAGCAGTTTCACTTTCTAAGTTTTGAAATAAACCAGTAATGGTTCCCTATCCTTTTGAAAGTCTGCTTATCACCCTGAAGTACTAAACCTATGACATATATCTGTTCATTTTACAGAGACAGCAGTGACATTTCAGTTGCTTGTCTATCATGGATTTGCAAGTGAGAGTGCTGGTTCTTGCTAAAGGAATCAAACTAGGAACAAGGTCCTAGGTCAGTTTTGGTGAAGTTTTGGTTTGCAGTGGGTACAAAGCACTTTAGTCTCTGTAGCCAAAATCAGATTGTATCCATCTAGATTAGACACAATAGCTGAGATACCTGATTCCGGGTGGATCAAGTTTGAGACAGCTCAGGATGAGGGCTGACCTGCAATGAAAGCTTTACTGCCTCTTGTCACCATGCCCTTGATAAGACAGTAGACATTCTTAGCCTTGACTTACCACACTAACTTATCACACTGCTGGCAACTGGAATGCAGCCTTTAGGATAAAAATATATAAATATATATTCCAGAAATGAAACAAGCATTCTACCTTGCATTTTGTTATGAGAAAACCACCAAAGTTCTAATAGATTTACCTAAAAGTATCATAGACTTTGAGAAAGGAAATTACATGTTTGTCAAAACCCTTTATGTACCAGCACCAAGTAAAACTCTTGTTGTTTGGCAATTTCTAATAATAGTAATGCTGTGGATTTGATCTTTTATCCTGGTTTGCATTTCTCCTAACCAAGCTGCATTTGTTCTCCTTGGGAGAATCTTAGGTTGCTATCTCATTGCCATGGTACCCATGTGGAAGGACTTCTAGTAAGCAGAATTTACTCCTGTAGTCACACACTCTTCCTCATCAGAACATTGATTCAAACTAAGTTGTGACAAAGCAAAAAGAAGTTTTGTTATTTAAACTTTCTCTGAATTGCTGACAAAGTATGTTCCGACAATGCAAAGAGGAGGAAACATCCTCACCCCTCCCCTTATTGGCTTGACAAGTTCCTGGCAGAATCTGACAAGTTTTGGGGTGGTTTTTTGCTGTGTGTTAATGGGTTTTTTTAAGTTGTCTTTACAGAACTCTGCTCTTTGGTGTTGCTGGTGAATAGGACAAGCTGACAATCAACAGGTAGGCGCAGGAAATGGCTGAGGTGTGAATTCTGATTTGACCCCTTAATATAGTAACAGCTTCATCTATCCAAAGTCTTCCTGGTGAGGAAGAGGAATTGTCTCTGTGTTGCCAAGGCCTATTTCCCTGAATGTAAAATGGTCAAAATAGGAAGGTACTGCCCACAGTTCTTAAGTCTTCTCCAGCCCTAAATGTTGCACATACTTTTATTTTTGTTCTCTCTTTCAAATCACATCTCTTTGCTCAACACTTGGGGTTCTTCTTTATGCAGATCCAAAATGCCTGCCCCAGCATTCCAATCCACTGCTCTGCTTGGCTTGGGGCAAGCAGCAGGATGAGCTCCAAGCTTGTTTTGCTGGTGCTGTCTTTCCCTTTTGCAAGGAGATTGGTGTTAGAAGGAGATGTTAAAAAAAAGAGGGCTAAGAGGTTATGCCGGCTAAGGGCACATCTGTGAGGCACTTTAGTCTGGCAGCACAGGAGCATGGTGTGATATCCAGAGGGATATCCAGAGTGTCAGCTGACATGTGGGTTAAAGGAGCAGTGTTAATTATTTGAGGAGCAGTGCTGTGTGGAGGGGATTTTAGCACTCCTGGTGCTGGAAGCAGCTTGCTCGCAGCTAGACCAGGTTACCCCTCCAGTCCTCTGCTTCTTCAGGGTGATTTCAGGATGTTCTCCCCTTGGCTGGTGGTTTGGATGCTGCAGTTGAGTCTGGTAAACACATCTGTTTTGCTTTGGTGGGTGTATTGTGTCTTTAGAGTACTGACAATATTGGGATTGCCTTTGGGCATTTTTGTTTTGTTGTGGGAGGAAGGGTTTTGGGTTTTTTTTGGGGTTGTTTTGTTGTCTTACACTGGTGTTTTTGTTATTTATTAGTAAAAACAAAGGATCTCATTTTAGTGTGTGACAGAAGAGCCTTGTGTGAAGAGTGCTGTTAAGAATGGTAGTTACAGAATAATGTCTTCTTGTGTTTTATTGTTTTGAAAACAAACATGCTCCTCCTCTCTAGCTGCAGTCTGCTGATTCAGTTGAAGAAGCAAGGTCAGCTTTCATCACTCTTTCCTTTCTTCCTGTAATCTAGAAATATTTTAGAATATTCAT